AAAAATTATCTCTGGGAATTGGGAAGTTTTAGCACGCGGTCGCATTTCTTGAAAACGAAACTTGTATTTTTGAATTCGCAGATTACTCAAACGGTTTAAAAATAGCGGCTTGCAAACCATTGTTTTCATGTCATTTTTTTTTGAAGTGTCACGTGAACAATCGCAACAATGGAAAGATGCCTATTAGCCCAGTCATTATAGACATGAAAGAGCCTGTTTCTGGAAAAAAATACTATTAGAAGTTTCTCTGCGGAATATTGTTCGGAAATAAAATATCAAAAAGTCAACTAGAGGCTAGTTGGGAAACTTTGTTTTAATAATGGTCAAAGTTATGGAAAAGTGGTTTTTTGACTCACGTAAAAAAGCTATTATTCATAGCGAAAAAAAGTTTATACAAAAAAGGTAGGTATTAAATAAGCCTATAAAATGAAAAAAATCCGATTAAATTCCGATAATTTGTTTATACACAAGAGCTCAAAAATGGTAGAAAATTGCCGTTTTTTTCAATTGCTAATAATTAATGCAATTTTCATCGCAGACACTTGTAATTCAGGATTTTTGAGGCTTTTTACATCCTTAATAAGTGGTAAAAATTTCAGCCCGAAAGCTCCATTGGTTTGGCGTTGGCGGAATTTGTTATCTAAGAAGATGCTATTTTCAATTAATTTTTCCCAAGCTCACAGGCGTTGTAGAGTTTCGATCATTAGTTGTTTTTGTAACTAAATAGTTGTATTGACATATGCATTTACCGAGAATTTAGTTTTTCAAATTTAATTTGTTTAAAATTGACTGAAAAAATGTCAATATTTATTAAATTGTTAAGATAGGTAATTATTATAAAATAAAATAGTAACCTCTTTACTTTAGTTTTCTTCGAATTTAAAAAAAAAATCGTAAGTTGATTAGAAGCTGAGATAATTTTTTTTATTTATTTAATCGCAGTGACCTTAATTATTAATATTAAGAGCCGAAATTTGGAGAGAATATACATTAAGAGCTATATTTTCATGTCCTACATTAACATTAAGGTGAATTCAACTATTTAATTTCGAAAAAGAAGATAGCGGCGATGCGTTCTATTACTTGGTCTAGCGAACGAGTGGGGAAGGCGAGGCTTAGCATGCGCGCTTAACGATGTAATAAATATTAACATTTTTTCAAAGTCATTTTTAAACAAATTAAATTTGAAAAATTAAATTATCAGTAAATGCATATGAAAATACAACTATTTAGGTACAAAAACAACTAATGATCGAAACCCTACAACGCCTATGAGCTTGGGAAAAATGAATTGAAAATAGCATCTTCTTAGATAACAAATTCCGCCAACGCCAAACCAATGAAGCTTTCGAGCTGAAATTTTTACCACTTATTAAGGGTGTAAAAAGCCTAAAAAATCCTGAATTACAAGTGTCTGCGATGAAAATTGCATTAATTATTAGCAATTGAAAAAAGCGGACAATTTCGACCATTTTTGAGCTCTTGCGCATAAACAAATTATCGGAATTTAATCGGACTTGTCTTATTTTAGAGATTTATTTAATACCTACCTTTTTTGTGTAAACCTTTTTTTCTCTATGAATAACAGTTTTTTTACGCCAGTCGAAAAACTACTTTTTCATAATTTTGACCATTGTTTTAACAAAGTTTCCCAACTAGTCTCGAGTAGATTTTTTGATATTTTGTTTATAACACGTTTCTGAACAATATTCCGCAGAAAAACTTCTAATAGAATTTTTTTCCCGAAAAAAAGCTATAATGATTGGCCTATGTATAATTTATTTTTTTATATATTTTACCGAATATAAATGTTCGCCTCCTTGTTTATCATGCGACGTGTGTGTAGCGCACAAGGACGAAAAAAGTACAATTAAAAAATTATCGCTAGCAATACTCGTAGATTAGGTTTATTTACACTTTATATTTAGCTGACCTTATAAGCTACCCGATTGGTAATATTTATTGATTAATTGATTTGTGTCGACAAAAGTGAAACGCTCGTTTAATTTTTAGGTGCAGCAGGTCGAACGATTGTTGATTTTTCACTTGAGCAACACAAAAAGAATGACAAATCGAGCGAGCCTGTATCATTTTCTGCAAAAAAATATATACGATTTTCTTTATAAAAAACAGCTTTTCGATTTACATACCTATATCTTTGTAAATTGATGATCAATTTTTTATCTCGTTCTATTCTGTCAGCAGAATTTTTTTAGTAATTATCTACTATAGCACAAAACCCTCAAAAATACATATAATAATTCGCAAAGCCCAGTATTTTCGAGCATGCTGAAAAGGAATCTGAAGTTATCTGTGTGGTTACAACTTTTTTTTTAACCCGGATTCGCGTTGGAATTGAAAGTTTTCCGCTATATCGTAATGTAAGTAATTACCCATTTAGACCACCCCGTACTTCATAAGTTCATACCATTTTACCATGCACGTTTTTATCCTGTTGCCCGCATACGGTCGTAACTCTAGCGACACCTATAGATTTACGACCACGTTGTGAAAAAAATCGATTTCCTGTACCCACACGACCCGCAATAAACAGAAATTAAGGGTTTCGTAACCGCAGTTTTCATTTCAATTACGGACAAGTTTCGCGACTCGCGTAGGAGAAGGCCTGGCGCAATCTGTCTGTGGGTGTCATTAGGTGCAGTAGTATGTACTTAAATGTTTTCACTTGAAAACGAGCGTACATTTCCGCCTTTCCTAGTTAATAGGAAAAATTTTAAAAATCAAGGCGACGGAATATGTTTTCAATTGTATACCAAATTTTCTTAAAATTTTCCAAGCAAAAATGTAACCTCTATTAATTTCAATTTTTCAATCACCAACATTTTCCAAAATTTAAATGAAGAATGATTATTTTGAAAATGATTCACAAGTGTGTTTTCTCCCAAATGAGAAACATTTTAATAAAATTATTTCAATATTTGACTGTCTGAATACCAAAGGCAACCGAGATATACCGGGGGATTTTTAATTTATAGAAAACGGCACAACTGAAGACATGTTTTTCGAAAAATATGTGGAATTTTTTCTAAATTCTAATAGCACATGGGTCTCAATCCATGTGTACCATAATAGGAACTTTTTTTCTTTTGAAGAGTTCTATCAACAACTAAAGTTTGATCTATGCAATTCAGGACACTGAATAATAAAAACTGAAACTGAAATATACAAGGTGTCCCAAAAGTTACGCCCGTCCTTTTGGGATTTGATTAAGGAGACAAAAACGGTTTGAAAATCACGAATGGAAAATTTTCCGATTGTTTTTCTTTGTCGAGTTATTCAAAAAAATATTCAAAAAACTAAAAAAGTGAAAATCCAATTTTTTTGTCTCAAAACCGAAGTCTGTGCTTATATCAAGACAAATAATTTATAACCAATAGTAAGTAAGTATAGTTCCCGATTGTCGGTTGTAAGGATAGAGAAAAACATTTTGATAATAAAACAATTTTAAAGTGGAGGGAAAAAACATAATAGAAATTGTTTTTAAAAAAGTTGTTCAAATAAGTTGCCTTCTACTTCAAGACAAAGACTGGCACGGTTCAACATTGAAGCATGAACCCTTTGTAGCATCTCTTGGTGTATTAACGCGACAGCAGCGTGTATGCGGGCTACTACATAAATCTTTCCTTTTAAATAACCCTAAAAGAAAAATCTATGGGATTCAGATCTGGTCATCTAGGAGACCAGGCTATGGGTCCACCCCTTCCAATACAGCTGTCTGCGAAATTTTGATTCGAATAATTTCATACTCGTAAACTATGTGATGGAGCTCCATCATGTTGAAACCAATAATATAGCCTAACGTCATCTAGGAATAATAATGGTAAGTTTCACTTAAAAACATACAACTGCAGCAAATACATCTCTGAACTACATAATTATTTAGTAACCCAAGCCAAATGTATATTTAGTTTTTTGAATAACTCAACCAAGGACATTTAAATAAAGGGGACTTATTTATTTACATTTCTAGATGAAGCCTGGTCTATTCACAGTCTAATTGTATCATTGTTGTCAGCTGTATAATTATACTGGAAATGTACTTAATATTTTTATCGCAATTTTCATCACAATTGTGAAAATTATTATTATAGGATAGTAATATTGTATGCATAACTTAATAATACT